ATATAATTTTTCTGGTTCTAGCTCTATTAGTAACCTAAGTTTAATTATGAACATTTTTTAAATTATACAAATGTCGTATTATTATTTATTTTCTTCTATATTAATTTGGTGCCTGAAAAATTAAATTATTTACTGCGCTTACAGGCGGTTCCTGGGTTCCCTGAATTTTTCTTCGGCAATCAAAACGCGCTATAAGTACCTAAAAATGTCTCAAACAAATCCAAAATCAGTCTCAGAGCCTACTTTGGCTAATTTTAAAATTCCAACACGGTGGCTCTGCCATGCCCCGCCAACAGCGTCGTCGCCTGTGGCAACGGTCCTCCTCAGGTCAGTTATTTTCGGTCGATTTACATCAATCCCTACGAGAAATCACGTTAAGGGGTCTCGGTTGACTGAAAAAATACAGAAAATCGAAACTCATCGGCTATGGGGCGCTCTGGTGCGGCGGCTCCTCCGGCTCACGTTACGGTTGGGGGTTTTGCTCTGGTCAACCTGTAGAGAAGGAAATGGTGATCACAACAGTAAAACAATTACCCATAACGAGAACCGGGAAGGGTCTCATCGGAGGCATTTTGTGAAATTTTCTGCGACACTGCTGTCGGGCTTTGCCCACGTTTTCCAGCCAATCGACTGGTCTTTTGCTCCGATTTGGCCATGTGTGTGTTTAAAATTGAATTCTGAGTAAAGAAATTTTTTTTTTACCTCTTATGGCGGTCGGAAAGGGCTTCGGCGCTTCGGGGGGTAGCGACGGTCTCCTTTCCATCGGCTGGGTCTCCTTCTCTGGCGAGAGGGTCTGCCAGCTAGAGTTAGGTTTTGGTGCGAATGAGGGTTATTTATATCCGTCTGCATTTAATGTGAACCGTTGATCGCATTTAACATGTATCGTCCGATTGCGATTAAATAGGGAGTGAATGTGAACCGTTCATTGCGATCCAATATGTACCGTCTGATCGCGTTTAAATATGACCGTCCGATCGTGTTTGGAGAGAGAACGCATCCTGACAGTCCGTGCGCAAGGGAACGGATCTGGGCCGTTCGATCGCAGACACGCAGATCGTCCGCGTGGCCTCTTGCATGGCACTACGTCAGCGTCCGCTACCACGGGGCGTGTCCTGATTCGTCGGGCTGCTGACCGAGCATCCTGCGTGGCAAAACTTCTCTAAATTGTATTTTGACCATCGGTTTCTGAATTTTCTTTTAAAAA